GAGGTGCGAGCAGAGAGAGGTCTCGGTTCCGGTGCCCACTTTACCATGCTGCTTTACCTGTGGAGCCCCAGAAGGCCCCCAGGGCACCCTCAATGTTAAATTCACGCGGGAAGCTGGACTTCGAAGTCTTTGAGTCTTTGCCTGACCCTGTTCACTTCAGTTGTCTTTCCTCCTCAGATGTCTCTCCAGCTTCCTCCAGCTCTGGGACACTCATCCAGTACACTCCCGACTCTGCCACTAGTCCTACTGCAGGGCGCCCATCTCCCCATCCCTCTTGCCAGAAGGTCAAGGCGGAAGGTGAGGGTGTGGTGAAGAAGGCCAAGAGCCGCACTGCCTTCTCCCAGGAGCAGCTGCAAATCCTGCACCAGCGGTTCCAGAGCCAGATGTACCTGAGCCCCCAGCAGATCCGGGAGCTGGCTGCTGTCCTGGAGCTCACCTACAAGCAGGTGAACATCTTCATCTGATCTGTTGAGTCTCATCCCTGGTGTGAAGTGATCTCACAAGCGGAGGGGTTTTGTGCCTTTTTTGCCTCCTCTTTTCTTAGACCCCGGACATGAGTTTCTTTTGTGGTCTTGTTTATACCACTGCTTATGTTGGGAGAGCAGATGGTATGGAAACTTAGGATTCAGTCATCCTTTTATGCCTGGTTCTAGCGCTATCCCCCCACTCTGTGCAGGTGTTTGAAAGTTCCTCTGTGTAGCCTTGCTCTGTATGCAGGTTTTGGTATGGACATGTGTTCACAGAATTATAGAATGGTTTGGGTTGGAAAAGAACTTAAGATCATCTAGTTCCAACCCCCCTGCCATGGGCAGGGACACCTCGCACTAGATCATGTTGCCCAAGGCTCTGTCCAGCCTGGCCTCAAACACTGCCAGGGATGGAGCATTCAACCACTTCTCTGGGCAGCCTGTTCCAGTGCCTCACCACCCTCACAGTAAAGAACTTCTTCCTTGTATCTAACCTGAACTTCCCCTGTTCCAGTTTGAACCCATCACCCCTTGTCCTATCACTACAGTCCCTGATGAAGAGTCCCTCTCCAGCATCCTTGTAGCCCCCTTCAGAGTCACAGTGGCATCTGGACTCTCCCTGGAGAGAGGGTCCTTGCCCCACCAGCTATTGTGTCAGACTGAAGGAATGATTCACTCCTGAGTCAGCACTGGTCTTGGCTCAGCAGTGAGATGCTGCTGCAGTAACAAGCTGTGTTTCTGCAGGTGTCTTGACCTGTCTTTAGGTAGGGGTTTTAGTGTCATGGAAGATCCCATAGCGATCTGAGGAGCAGGAGTGTGCTTTCATGTCCCAGCTCTGTGATTCTGTGGCTACCTGCTGCATACTGTTAGCTGCTGAAATTACATACAGTATTTGAAGCCAAGCAGAAACTGGATTTGGTAGAAGGCAAAACATCTTTAGGATGTGTAGTAACCTCTGAGAATGAATTTCTAATGCCCTGTGTCCTTTTCCCATCACTTCTAGGTGAAAACATGGTTTCAGAATCAACGGATGAAATTTAAACGCTGCCAGAAGGAGACCCAATGGGTGGAAAAAGGGGTGTATCCGCCACAGGTGAGAACATTCCCCCCCCACCATGCTTCCCCAGTCTCTGGGGAGGAGTGCTAACTTGAACAGTGCACAGGACTCTTACCCAAGCCAGTTGTACTTCTTGTAAGAGGGCTTACAGTGGCAGGTATTTGAATTCTGACCTGGCACTGAAAGAGCTTTGTTTCCAGTCTGCTTATCTACCAATTGAGATGAGAGAGAAAACAAAATAGCCACAGATGGCCATCAAGGCTGTGCTGGTGGGGTTTTTTTTCTCACTGGCATGGTGCTCCCAGATGTGTTGACTTGGAGAACACTAGCATAAGATCCTGTTATCTCTGCTATTAGTCTATAGTGAGGGCAACGAGTATGGAAAAGACACTATTGTGTGGCTTGGGAGAGGGAGTGGTGGGGGGAAAGAGGACCCATCCAAAAGAATGAGCACTTTTGGTGTGGTGCTCTGCATTACTGACCAGCCTTCTCTGTCTCTCCTAGAATGGGTTTCATCAGGGTGCCTACCTGGATATAACCCCCACATTTCACCAGGGCTTTCCTGTCAGTGCCAGCAGAAACATTCCGCCTGTGACCAACATGCATCAAGCTTACAGCAGTGGCCAGACTTACGGGAGCGGGCAAAGCTTCTACTCGTTCATGGCTGTGGAGGATGAGGCGCTCTTTGGAAAAGGTGGAACAAGCTGCAGTACCCAGCAAGCCATGGGTTTATTAAGCCAGCAGATGAACTTCTATCATGGCTATCCTGCAGATCTGGATTATGTCAGCCTGGAGTCAGGAGACACCTACACCTTCCAGAGCACCTCTGACAATGTCACACCGTTCTCAAGCTCTCCTGCACAGCACCAGTACCAGGCTCCTTGGTATCCCCTGGGGACCCAGAGTGATTATGAATCTTAGGTCTAAGTACTTTTTTTAACTCTGTTCTCCTGTTTTCTCTAGGGTTTCTAGGGTCTCGACTTGGAGATCCAGTTTCTGTTCCTTTCTCTTGCCCCTCTTCTCCTCCTCCTGTTTTAACCATTGATGGGGCTCATCACCCCGCTGCCTTGGGTTAGCTTTCTGTTTAAAGGTTCCTGTTCATAGCCAACCCTTGGCAAGGGTGTTTTATGTGTGGATAGATGAAACATTCATTCATGGAGGGGAATGTGCAATACCACAGCCAGGAGTAGCAGAAATGGTAGAGGTCACTGTTTGTTGTCCAACCTCACCTTCCTCTGCTGCCTCTTTAGCAGGCAATCTCTGACCCTTGCTTTTACTGTCTTGCTGCTGAGCTTTGCTATAGAAGAAAACCCTGTACATAAGCATATTTCTGCTAGAAATACCCTGTTGTGGCCTGCAAGTTCTGCTGTCTTGCCTGTTTCTGTTGCTGCCTCAGTCAGCTAACTGCTAGCAAGTTCTTCATTTGCATGGTTTCCTCCCTCATCAAAAGCCTACACAAGATCATCTGATTTCAGATTTGATCCAGTTACGTTCAGCAACTCCACCTGGAGGGCTCAGCATCTGGCTATCCCTTGCCTGCTGCCCTCCTGTGTACACAGGGCAGCTCAGAGGAGAGGAAGTGGGGTAGAGTATTGTCCATATTTCACATGGAAACTTTGGTTTCCAAAGCTGTTAACTTGCTTGTGCCTGCCAGGACATTCAGGATGGCTGTCTCTGTGACTGTCCCCACCTAGTTTAGATCTTGCCTTTCTACATCTCTGCTGAGAGACTGTTGGTTTGTCCCAGCCTGCAAATTGTTGGTGAGAGCAGTCTGCTTATCTGTACATGGTAGTCCCCTAGCACTTCACAAACAGAGCACCACTACAGTGCAGATTTCTCTGGGGTAGAGGCAGGCAGCTAGGTAAAGGACCCTCTTGTCTAATCCCAGTTTTAAGAGTATAAGCTAGTAGGATTTTTGTCCCTTCCCCAGGGCTTATTGGATCTCTTCTGTATTGTCCTGCTGCTCATCTGACATAAAGACTCAAGCTCTGGGGGAGGTGAGAAGTTTAGAGAAACTTAGTTAGACAAAATGAGGAAGATGCCAATTAAAATTTCCAGGTTTGTTTTTAAAAGTAACTGAACCATCCTTCCCAGTATGGAGAAACCGTGAGGCAGTTCCGAACTATGAAAAACTGACTTCTTTTGCAAGATGTGGAATTTCAGAGTCCATTCTGCCACTCCCCAAGAACACAAAATGGCACAAGCTGCCAAGACTAAATAGGATGGTAAAAGCATAAGCATTTCCATGATAGACTTTGGGGTTCTGTGACTAGTGCACAAATTTTACTGCAACCGTGTTGTCGAATGTCTGTTTGCAAGGGTTGTGTGTCATAGTTAAACTCTTGCTGCGAAGACCTGGTTGTTCCAGAATAATTTGTCTTGGAGTGTACTTCTTGCAGTGATCTCAAGCATGTTTTTTGTTACGTGCATGTTGTCTTTTATTACTTTGTTTGCAGTTAATGTTTGTACAAACTTGTTTGAGTTGAAAATAAATTACTTTATTTTAATGATGAAACTGTGTGGCCAGCTTGCATTGGAACAGCCTGCTAGGGGAATGGCTGTTCTGCACAGGTTAGACCACCAGTCCTGAGGAAAGGAGGGAAAAAATAACAGGACTATGTTTCTCAGACAACTACAATCAAGCAACTGTTCAGAAGCGTCAGGTCACAGAATTCCATCAGCCTTGTTTTCAACATGCAGGTGTGTTGCCTAGTGCAAGGGGATGCTCCAGGGGTAAGTATCTGGGCTGCTTTCAGTAAAAGACACCTATGGAAGTATGAGGGCAGGAGCACAAAAAAGTGCCTCTGGGTTTTGTGGCCGCCTGCTGCTGCTCCAGAAGGTTGCAGTTAGCGGTCTGGAAGTCCTGCCTCATGGAGGATGCAGCTCTCTTTGGGTTCTTGTGCTAATCTCAAATCACAGCAGAAGTTTGTAAGTAAGTAACTGAATCCTACCTCCAGCATTGAAACAAAAATGTACTGATTTCCCTGAGACTGCATTTTTCTCTTAGCAGCTGTATGCAGCATGTAAAGGTTACTTAAACATGTGAGATGCATCAGGAATCAAGCATAAGGAACTTGCCTTGTATACCTTAGTTTGAACAGCTATTCAGCTTGCATGCAGGTAAGGTGCTGCAAGTGTTCATGGGCAGCACTAAATGGAAAAAGGCAGCTGCCCAGGTTCCTTAAGCTATAGTACACCACCAAAGCTTTTCACCTGGTTGAAATGGGCAGTTCAATAACTACTGCTACTAAGCATAACTAGCTAAACTGACAGCTGACTGCTAAGGCTCAAATAGCTACATGTCCTTTGCTGAAGAGAGCCTGCTCCTTTGGGTGCCAAAGCCCACCTTTCTTTTGCAATACTGTAATGCTTTGCTTCCAAGTATGAGGTGGAGTATGAGCAGGAAGTAGAGGGAGTGGAGGTTTCGGCCTGTAGTTGAGGAAGAAAGGCTGAGTTGTCCATGTGTAGGCTGCTAACCTTCAACAGCAGAAAAAGGTAAATCTGGCCTGTAAGAGAGGGAAATGCCAGGTTCACAAGATTTCCTGTATTGCAGAACAGAGATCCTTTCTCATCCTGACCTGAGATATATGTCCCAGTGTGAGTTAGGATGAATTCTGGGTAACGATCTAGCAGTAGTGTTAATTTCAACAATTCCATTGAAAAAACAAAGCTCAACCATATACCTGTACAAGTCATAGATGCTAATGCCTTTCAGCTTTAAAATTAGCAGCTTCCTTTTTTTTTTTAGATGAAAGCTTAAGCTCTAAAGAAGTTCACAAGGTACCTCGGTCTCTGCAGAACAATTGCAAAGGATGCTTGCTGCAGATTACTTGTGTTTGGGCTTGTTTCTCTTCCATGGCTCTGCCACAAGGGTAAGGAGGTGGCCAGAGTTGTGCTGTACATGTCTTCCAGTAACAGATATTGTTGCTAAAATAGCCCTGGGGCTGCAGTTTGTGTTGCTGCATTTACCACGGGAGCATCCTGCAGAAATTAAACATTCCTTCATGGGTGCACTATTCACCTGGTTATTCAGCCTGGGTTGCACATGGATTTGTCAAGCACATGTGGCTGTAGGGTTGGATGGAGCATGCGGAGTGGCTGCTCTTGGAATTTTGGCAGGTGGGCTGAAAAGGACTGCTAATACCTCAGCAAGAGTTCCTAGAAGCTGTGGAATTAAGCAGGATTCTGCCTTTCCACAGTGCTGAAGGTCTGCTACCTTGACACACCTCGAGCCACATTACTATGTGGAACAGCTGCACAAGTAATTGCAGAACTACTACTACCAAAACTGGTGGAGATGCAACTAATCCCACCAGACTCGTATTTCCAAAAGGCTTTATATCCGCTACTCTGCGGAAGTAAGTGCATGTGAGCAAAAGACCTTTCTGCTGGGTTCATTACATCTCTGTGAGGACTGCTGCTTCTTGTGATGGAGCTGTGTAAGCATGATTTCTGAGCACTGCAAACACAATTCACCTTGCCAGCAAATCTTTTGTAGGATCAAGCTGTAAGCTCATATGGAGCTCTTTATATGTATTGTAGCTTGTGGGAATACACTGCACTTTCACAGTATCTCTGTAGTGTTGGCACTCCAATTTGTCAACACTGCAGATGTAGCTCCAGTGATGCAGAGAATCACATCCAAACAAAAGAAATTAGACCTAGCATGGGCTATGTAGACCAGAGTTTATTCTCTAGTTTACTGGGTTCCAGCTTTTGCTGTCCCATAGGCAAAATACCAAGCAAGTAAAGTGCTGCAAGCAACCTCATTCCTGGCTCTTGCGTTAACATGGCCTGCAGCAATGTTATACAAGCTACAGGTTTCTTCTGAGTGACCCATGAGCAGGGGCTCACAGCCCCAGTGGTCTCTCCAGTGCAGACAAAAGGCATGATGTTTGCTTTAACAGATTTTTTTTCCC